AACATTTTCTGCTTCTATAGATTGTTCTGCAGCATGAACTGTGTAAACTTAGGTAAATGTGAAATGGAAGTTTTTTTAGGGGGAAAGAAGGGCTGAAAGAGGACTTCACTATCCAGCCTTGGCTTGAATTTACTACGTGAACAGGTTAGCACTGAAATGGTGACCTCTTACCTCAATTTTCCAAGTGTTGCGAGCACAAGAGTGCAGGATTATAAACATATGCCACCATACCCAGTTTAGGTTTAAGATCTGAAAATGATGTGACCGGGTTGGGGAGTGGCTCAGTGGTGGAGTGTTTGCCTAGATACAGAAGAATTAGAGTTGTGTAGAACATAAACAATGTGACTAATAAGGACCCAGAAATTTCTAGTTGTGCTCTTCATTCTTACGCAGAGACTAGACACATTAAATCTTGTTGGGTAACACAATATAATGCAAAATCAGTTTTCTAATAAGGCTCTTTGCTGAGAAGGTACAAACCAATTTTGGCACATATCCCTATGAATATTAAAAATGGATCAAGTATGACATTACACAACACCTCTCTATTACATCTATAGCTTGCTTTTAAAACACTACGCAAGGCCTGGAGATGTAGTTCAGCTGGAAGATTGGTTGTCTAGCATACATGAAACCTTTGGGTCACAGCATGGTGGCACATACCTACATCCCAGTTCTTGGGAAATAAATGTAAGAGGGGCAGCAGTTCAATCATTCTTAGCTATATAGCAAGTATGAGGCCAGTCTGGGCTAAGTAAGACACTGTTTCAAAAAGCCCAGCAGAGCAGAAATAGGTGGATGTCTGTGAATTTGAAGCCAGCCTGGGCTACACAGTGAGTTCCAGATGAGCTAAGAATACATAATGAGTACCTGTCCCCCAAAACAAAACAAAACAAAACGACCCAGGGCTTGGGAAGTAGTTGAGTGATATAAAGCTTGCCTAGCGTTCATAGGGCTTTGGGTTCAACCCTACCCCCCAATCAAAACAACATGCTGTACAATGTGAGTGTATAGCACACATCTGTATCATCAACATGTGGGAGGCAAAGGTAGGAAGACCTCTAGTTTTGAGACCACCCTGGGAGACAGGAGACCCTCTTTCAAACCCAAACAACCCCCAATACTCCCTAGACATGATCTTGCTCCAAGGTTAGCACTAAAGTCACATGACATGACTATAGTCACAATGCCCCTGACTCCCAGGGCTTCAGCAACAGGACCCGGAGGAGCAGAAATGAAGGGCACGGCACAACTCCCCAGCATTCACGGTTTGAAACCAGAGCTTTGTCTTCTGTGTAAACGGGGAATGATGAACCAACGATCTAAGAACAGGGAGAGGAATTTGCCACCAGCTAAAATATTTTCACTAAGAACAAACCATCCAGAAAGAGGATTTGCTTTGTAGAGCTGAGGAATTTGTGAGGTCAAAGTTCAAACTCCACAGAAACACTATCTGTATCCAACAGCAAAGAACAGGACACACAAGAAAATGTTATCTGTGGGGCTGGGGTCCCAGCTCAGTAGCATAGCATTTGCCTAGCGTGCATGAGGCCCTGGATCAGATCCCCAGCCAATCTGTCTATCTCCCAGACATGCGGGG